GAGGAGCTTGTCAAATATCTAAAAGGACAAGTGGAGGAGGAGGACTCGGCCTTGGTCTCGGAAGAGAGGACATCAAAGTAAGATTGGTTGGCCGTAGAGGCCTGCTGGAGTGTCCGCAAACGAAAAAAACCTGTGGACTTGGACCGGTTAGGCTGAGCGGCCTTTTCGGTCTGGGCGGTGTTCTCCACAACAGCCTTGCCCTTGTCTTGAATCCCCTTTGGGAACTCTGATGGGCGGGCACGGGCCTTCCCCTTCCCCTTGGGGTCCCCCAGAGAAGTTGAGGGCCCGATCTGGCCATACGACCCCGCGGCGAAAGCAATGGACGAGGCTTGTTGCCACTTGTGTAGCAGTCAGCCCCTACGTGACCAACGTGGTCACACAAGGTGTAGTAAGGTGGGATCCTCTCGTATACCACCTTCTGTGTGGTGATCTTCCCCGCCTAGTTGAGAAAGATCTCATGGACACCACGGAGGTCTATCTCAACGCACACATGTGCAACGGATAGCCTCGATCGAGTGGTCGTGGCTGCATCAACCTCAATCGGGTTGCCAGTGCAATTGGCAATCAAGAACAACACAGAAGCGTCACAGAGGTGAGGGAGAAGACCTGGGAGACGAACCCAAACTGGGGCGAGGGGAGCCTCAGTCGAGGGAGAGAAATCAGGAGTGTATTTAAACACCCGAGCAGTGCACCTACTAACGCTAACCTTCGTCTTAAGCCACGCCAAATTATAGTCCTCTTTAAGGTCAAAGGTGACTAAATAGTGATTGAAGATATAGTATTTGGGCGTGGCGCTACAATTATAACCTAGTTTCGTAAGTCCAACAGTCAAATCCCGGAGGTTGGGGACAATATGAGAGAACTTAAAAATCAAGGTCTTTCCATACGGCTCAACAAAAGAGGAAATAACGGGCTCAAAAAGACTTACTGTGTGTTGTCCCTCTTCGGTGCTAAGTAATGGATCCTCGGGGGTAGTCCCGGTAGGTGTCAAAGGTAAATCTCCGATGTTGTGTTACGCCGACGGGTTTGTCAGTAATCACGTCCCGAAAAGAGCGGGTACCGTTGGAGGTGGAGTCCGTTGTGGTGCCTGCCGAATGAATTCTGGCCTGTGAATCTCTGTTATGTGGGGCCACGGTGCCAGCTGCCGGCAGGGTGAGGCTCGNAAGCCTTTTGGGGGTGGGTGGTGGGAGATGGGTTGAGGAGTTGAGAAAAAGTGGGCTAAGGGGATTGTGTTCAGGCAGGTGGCTTAATGAGGGGTTAACTGGCAGGTTGGGTTGAGAGAATGATGTGAGGTGGGTTGGGTATGGGTAGCGAGGATGTGCTGTAATGGGAAGGGTTGAAGGGGCTTTAGGTGATTAGAGGTGGGTTGGGTTGAAAAGATAAAGGGAAGGGCTGCGTGGCCCAAGAGGCCTAGCGAGCCAAAAGAAAAAAAGGGGTAGGGGAGATAGGCCCAGCACATATCTGAGGCCGCAATGAAAGCTGGCTTGGAGGCCCAGAGGAGGGGCAAGACCCGGTATGTTGCTGAGAGGCTGTTGAGGAGCAATGGGGTCGGTCAAATTGGCCCAATTAGCCCAAACCGCTAGTATACTGAGTGCTTGGCGGAGGGGTAGCCACGTCACCCTCCACCCTCTCAAACCCTAGCACCTGGCCAGCGTATAAATGGTTGTTGGGAAAATTGAGGAGTTGACCAACCCCAATCAAAGAAGAGGCGGCGGCCACCGGGTCAACAACGACAGTTGACTGAACTCCAGCATGAAAGACTTCCGGCAATTACTGGCGGTCCGCAAGTTTTACAGAGATAGTCCAAATTCTCATAAAATCCGCCAACAGCCTAGAGTGTGAGAAGAATGCTCGAACTGTCAATATGAAAAAGTGCATCGTAAGTCTCTATTAATTGCTCAAAATTTGAACCATTCCATTTTGTTCAATTACTCTTTTGCCTGTGAAGAAATTATTATTAACCCTTCTTTTACTTATAAAACAATCAAATATTTTGAACCTATGGATCACTTGGTTCCCTATCGTCGTTGTACAAGTAAATTGTGTGTATATGTTGGGTGCATATATTGGACACGATGGGATTGGGAACAGGG